TTTTGTCAGTTGTGTACATTTAAAATGTAATTAACATTTATATCAATATGATTTTAAAAATTGGAAAGTGATGTGTAAAGCAAAGTGATTAGTTATGATTTTATAAATATCAAAAGTAAAAAAAAAGCAATGAAAGTTAATGTATAAAAAGTGCAATCGCCAAAGTCCATCACACGATTTCATAAAAACAAATAGATAAACACATGATGAAATTCAAATGATTTGTGAGGTTCTTATGAATACCTTACGCCTGCAATATTTCAATTAGTTACTGTGAAAAAAAATAAGAATGATGATGATGGTGAAGAAAGTGCTGCTGAAGAATTGAAAGAAGAAGAGAAGAAGACAATGACGCTGACATCGATAAATGCTGATGGTGGTGGTGATGATGATGATGATGATGATAAGAATGATGATGATGATGATGTGTTTTTGCCATTTTGTTGTTTAATAGATTTGGCATATAAAATTTTAGTACATTATATTTTCAGTGTTGATAAAGAAACAGATGCAGAATGATTGCGTAATCATTGTATTTGATTATATCGATTTTAAGGCTTATCAATATGCAAGCTTGGTGTTTTAACTCTCATTTACATTCAGTGGTCTAGTGTATTTTAATTATTGAATTAAACGAGACTTTCCTGGAAGTTAAAGTTCAATTATACTTCTTCTGCCACTGGACCCGACAGGGTTAAATGCAAAAATGCCCATCCGGTAATACCTCCTTTTTATGAATACATGTACTAATAATAGCCTGCTTGGTCATCTGATAAGATCTTATGTTCAACTCTCATTAAACCCTGTAGTCCAGAAGCGATAAGTGACATTATGCTCATTCTTGTTCCGCCGTCAAGTCGAGATGAATAAGTAATATATTTGAAAAGATTATATTTGCGTTTGAGAACTACCTAATTTATAATAAAACTGCCTCATTTTATTTAAAGAATTAAAAGTTACAAATACATTGTAATTGATATTTACAAACATTTCTTTTGGTCACACGGTTTATTGATTTTTTCATTTTTAAATATAATTGACCTCAATTATGGCAAATTTTATGTTATTTTAATTTTTTGCTGTTCATATATGCATGGACATAATGCCACTTTAAACTTCAACTTCCAGGAAAATCTCGTTGAGTGTTTTAAGGTTGCTCACCTGTTAATCAGATAAAACAAAAATGCAGCTTTGTATTAAATTCAAATTTAATAGTAACAACATGAAAGGCCTCTAATTTATAAATTCATAACCTTCAAACAGTTTCCAGCATACGAGGTTTGATCCAAATGTTTTTGGCCCGGTGTACTTACGGTAGTCATAGAACCCAACTTATAGTCTTACTTTTCAATATAATCGTCCTCTACGTCAACGTACTTTGTCCACTTGTGCTCCAACTTGTTTTACCCTTCAAAATAGAACTCTCTATTCAAAATAGAACTCTCTATTCTGGTCCTCATTGACCGCCTCCATGACACCTTTGTTGCTTCAAAAAGGTTTACCACGAAGCTTGGTTTTCGGTTTTGTCAGAGGGGGGGGGGGGCAAGTCCGGAGAATATGGGAGATTGGGAAGAATTTCAAAGCCGCAGTCATCTCAATGTTCTCCCTGCCCCTCTTAAATTTAGCAGCACATTTTTTCACAGTGCTATAGGAAGGGGACTCCTTCCCAATTATATCCACGAAGTCTTCATGGATGTCCTTAGGGTACATCCCACTCTTACAGAGGTACTTTATGACGGTGCTAATCTCAACTCTCTCCATTTGATCTTACTGAGACACCCCTCTACTGATCAAAGTGTGTTTTACGTTACTTAATCTGTGTAAAACAGTGTGTAACTCGGTCAGTAATCTCCAATCGACGTATCGTGTGTCAATGTCAGTGGAGTTGCTATAAATATATCGGGCCGAAATTTTTTTGATCATTCCTCGTATGCTGATAGAGTTTCATTTCATATGAGACTTTAAATATAAATCCATATTTTTTTGCAATTGTAAGATTTTTTAAACATTTGTTAGCGTACTCTTTAATTAATTAGAAATTCTTGAACATGTTGTAAATACATTCGAAACGTTATTTTCCCATGTTTCAATAAAAGATGAAGTACATTACGCGAATCTGAAGATTAGATGACATGCATATATAGAGTATGATACGTACTATATAGCAATATTTCTGTACTGTGTTAAACCAGGAAGCATTTCAAGATAAAGGTATAGAAACTATTACTCTTTTATCAGAATTGAAATAAAAGGTGTGTCTTCTTATTCATAAATCAACAAAATGAAATTTATATAAAACTGCGTGGTTTCTAGAAATGACAACAAAACATTTAAAGCGAAAATAATACGGGGCCTATTGTCAGTCGTTTTCTGGTTATATGTCATTGAATTTAAATTATATGCAAGTCGAATCGTGCACAAATGAGAAAAGAAATACTTACTTTTTCTGCTTTTCGTGCAGCAGACTTCCTTCCAAGAAATGATGAAAAACTTCAAGGCATTTTTTTAGTTTTCGTCTTTTCCTAAATCTCTGCTACTTGTCTTAGAAAAGTATCAATTTTCTTTAAAAATGGCATATTTCATTTAGGTTATGGAAGCAACACAGTTTCACGTTTTATAGATATATGTATTATGACAGAGCTTCGTTAGTAATAGCTTTATTGCTCTGCGCACACAGCCACGGAGCTATTTGTGTTGATTTTTATTTTGTCCATGTACCCGAATTTTATCAATTAATCCCTTCGAGATTTACAGCAAAAAATTTATTTGTAATCAAGAACTCCTTCATATTTTTATTACGTAAAGTCATATATTAGTTTCCCCCCTTCGCTGATTCGCAGCATGTCATATTAATGAATGAGAACGAGAACAAATTTCACGCCCTCAACCGCTGGGAAAGCAGTTGATAATGATAATCTCTAGCAAACCTACCAATGTTCATGATGAACAATGTCTTTTGTCCTCTCATTCAGTCATTTATCTATGATATAAATTTTGGTAAAATCCAATTAACCATTGAAAACTTTATAAGTATATCAAGTCATCAGATGTCTACTAGTTCATCGTCATTTGCTGCATTTCTCGCTTGGACGCCCTTTGATGCTTTGCATCAGTATTTTTTTTGTAAAATCATGATAAACGAGTACATATACCATTTGACGCGAAACATGCAAAGGACATTTCGAAAAGTAAAATCCATGGAAGTTTTGGTTTTTGACTTATATACATATCAATCGTTACATTTATTACCATGATTAGTTGTTGATATTTGTAGAAAATGAGTAGCATTATAGGTGAAAACAAATGTACATGCTTTGATATTTTTATCGTCTTTTATAGAAGTGACACAAGCAAACAGAACAATGTTGCACTACTGTCATGTCACATTACATTTACAAGTCCTGTAAGTCTTGTTTGTATTTAAGGGAATTACTTTCCTTACCACGTAGCATATTTTTTTCAAATATAATATCTGCTCCCTCTCTCATGGATAAATAGTAGAATGTAGAAAACAATTGAGTCACCAACCATTCCCTAATGAGAAATCTCATACGCATATTATTTGTGTACAAAAGACAATAATGAAGCAATGCGAACAGAAATATATTCTTTTTTTACCAAATTATTTCCTTTTTAAATATGAAAGCATATATAAACAAGGCAATAAATAATAACAACATGCAAAACAATACTAAGTGACATTTACTGGTATAATTGTAAAGTGTGACAGCATCCCAAAAAAAATCATAAACGGTATATTCTTTAGATTGATGTAAGCGGATTTTATTTAGCTATAACCTAACAGATATTTAAGAGAGATATAATAAACATAGAATGAAAAGACTGTTTCAAAATTTAGTTATTTCTGTTTTCAATTGTTTAGTATCACATTGATGCAGCTTATACAATAGTATACTATTTTTCTTCCTTCTATTTTTACATTTTTCCCACGTAAATTTAGTCTAATTTTTGTCGATGTTATCATCATAGAAAGAATTTCAACGCGCTTGAATTTTTCTTCATTCGTATAATACAATTGTAAATAGTACAATGATATTGTAATAGAATACTTTATAACTAATAGTTTTGGTGTTGATAAAAATCTTTTGTTTTCTTGAGTTTTTTTAACTTTGTTATTGCTTCTTTTATCTGCATCACAGATTTTAAAATGTTCACATGAATAAACAAGGAAGTTTATGGAAATTGTTTAGTCGATTTAAAGATAATATTATCATTCAAAACAAAACAAACAAAACAATTGCGGTAAGTCTATCTGGCTTTATAGAATAGCAAAGTTTTTAAAATGAATCCGAACACAAATACAAAAGTCATTAAAGCAGTTTTTTCATGCCATTTTGCTAGGTCGAAAGAAAATCAAAAACTTGTTTCAGTTCAAACATTAAATCACTTTTTATTTAAGTAAATTTTTAACATGTATATACACTACTTATTAAGCGCTTTGCCTTTTCTGAACAATTTCGTATTTCTAGTACTTTAGATATCAACATTCCAGATAATGTCTTGTGCCAAGTGTGACGTCTATTAACGCAGACGTCCGTTTGGTACATTTACGTCATTTCCTTTGTTATGTATCAACTGACGATTTTAATAAAGCGAAACATGTATTGATATTTACAGTTGTGTTGTTTTTGTTTTCATCTATTTGCCCTATATAATTATGTTTAAATGAAAAAAAAACACAAATATTTCATCTATAGGCCCTTATCAACAAATGCATGTTTGAAATAAATACTTTAAGAACAGATGTCCCTACAATAGTTCAAAAATCGTTAATTTAAAAAAATGCATTTTGTTATTTTAAACTTGATGTGTTCTAAAGAGTGCAATTTAATTTCTCTTACATGAAATAGTAAACTAGACTTGAGAAAAAAATACACACCTCCTGAACCGCAACACTAACATCATAAATAAAAAAGACGAACACCAATGCATTTATAATATTGGCCTTGCCTAAAATTCTAAAGAGAATAAATCTGTCGCATGGGTAAAAAATGTTATTCTATTTCAGGATTGCACCATGCGGCTCTCTATGCGTTAAAACATTAAAAATCCAATGAAAGAAGTCAATTTTACAAGATAAAATTGGTTTTAAAAACATGATGCATGGAATAATTATTTATTCATGTAAGTATATATATTCGTATTTCTAATCATATATATATAACTATATGTTTAAATTTGAATCACAGTGAATAAGAAAACGTCATAAATAACTTAACATCGGTGGAAAAAAATCTATATTTGAATCAATATTTTGATATTTGCTAGGACATTGTCAAAGTAAAGTATTTAATTTTTAAACCTAGTTACATAATCATTGTTGATTTCAACAACTTTAAAACACGTTTCACACTTATTGCAGGTTTCCTTCATTTCCTGCTTCAAATCACTCAAAGCATAGGTTTGTACCTTGAAAGTTCCTTTTGTTAAAAAACACATTAAATCAGTTTCCATTCACAAAGGTTTCTTGTAATAAAACTTCGATAATAAAATAATGGAATTCGATAATAAAAAATTGAAACATTTATGGAAATTTGAATTGGATAATTCCGGTATATTTAAGTTAAATAATACGTTAGAAAACTGTTATCTATATTGTTTTTATGTATCTTAAGTGCAATGATTTTAAATTAACACAATCATCAAGATTTATTTCATGTATGAAGAACATTAATTTAGTGCTTAATTAGATAGTAAAATTACATCAGTGATGTACACATAAAGATATTTCACCAAGTCTAAATATACAAATATAAATAAGATAAATTTCAAAGTGTACAAGGATAGCAAACTACGATAATACACTAAAGATATGATCAGGGGAAAAGTAAATGTTGTCATCAAAATTTGCATATATAAAAGAAAAATGTAAACTGAATTATTCACATTTTCAATTCATTTACTTGTATTTGAACTTATATATTTTTAAATTTAATACCGCATTTAATTACAGATATATCAATTATTTTTAGCACTGCGATGTCAAGATGACAAAAGCATGGACTGTGCAAGGCTTGATAAAATGTTTGATATATGTGAAGACGTACATGATGCCAAACTAATATGTCCTAAATTCTGTAATTTATGCCTGCTAGGTAAGTGTGTTGATATTGTTAAAAAATATATAAAAAAATATGTGTCAGAAATTCTTATGAGGTTTTTCATCTGGAAATTAAAATCTTAGATAAAAACGTAAACATCTGTCTGGAACTTAAATCAATGGTTGGAATTTTTTGATAATTATTGTACATTACTCATAATGATGAAATGATCTTTTACCAAAAAAAGTTGATGGTAACTGGGCGGATTGGTCGGGGTGGTCAGAGTGTGATGTCACATGTGGTAATGGTAAGCATACTAGATTTAGGACATGCACAAATCCAGCACCGGCCTACCAAGGTTTGGAATGTGAAGGAGAAAAGACCGACGTGAAAACCTGTCAACGACAATCTTGTCCAGGTTAGAATTATATTCCGATTTAGTCTAAATGAATGTCACGTTTTATAACTTTTCCGTTGCTCATGACAATAAAATTGAGTATTATTTGTTTTCGTTTATATGTACCTTGATATTAAAATATGCTGTATGATATTTGATTTGAGTTCATGGTGGCTGGTCAGTTTGGTCTAAGTGGAATGCATGTCCGGTTACTTGTGGGTTAGGCATGCAGAAGCGTTACAGGAACTGTTCAGATCCGTACCCTTTACGGAATGGAAATCATTGTTTTGGAGACGCTGACGAATATAGAATTTGTTTCCAACAATTTTGTGAAGGTATGTTTAATCAAGTTGATATACTGTTTATGCTTATACGTGTAGTTTATTTCATATATTTACATTACAATAAATTTATAGGACGTTGTTATGATAAAATGATTGGTGGTTTATCTTTTATTATCAAGACTTTCATATAAAAAATTGCGATGGTATATAATCATGTGAAACACAAGGGATATGCACGAAGTTATCTCTGAAATCATATTTAGTTTACACATAATTATCTTTAACTTATCTTTCTTACTATCAGACACACAAATATGTAGATACATTGGAAATAATGATTTATTAATCTTTGATTTTTCTGGTAAATGTTACATGTTGGCAGTTGTGGACAGTTTTACTAATTTTTTGGACATAAGTTATGCCACCATAACATAATGCCCAATTGATTATCATGAGAAATTATTAGAGATACATTATGTCATTTTCATATTGTAGAAATGGCAAACATGTGTTTATCAATGTTTTAATATGGATGTAGAACATGTGATATATTTTTAGCCTTTAGAAAATAGCGCTGAATTTGAAATTTGTGATTGGATTGTAAGCAAAGCACCATCTAAACTTCCTTATAGAATACAAATTCACTGATTAACTACACTTACTGACACAAAGTAAAGACAGTAAATGATTGCTCTAGTAAATGGTCAATGAGAAATGTCTTATAATGTGTAACAGTGCACAAAGAGCCATTTAAATTCATGGAGATGTATATTGTCTTTTGATTAAATAGTTCACGATTGAATGTTGGGTCTCTCATAAGGGTTTGCATTTGTTATCAATGAAAAGGAAAATTATTGCGCCAAAACACAAAAATGACAAGCATTTATGTCGTGAAATAGATTAAAGAATTTAAATAAACATATTTTAGATGGGGTATGGACAAAGTGGGGTAAATGGGGAGCATGTAGTGCATCTTGTGGCAGTGGTGTCCGTCAGAGATCAAGATCATGCACAAATAGTATTGGAACCAAATGTAAGGGAGAGTCTTTTGAAGTTCAGCCTTGCAACGAACTGGATTGCCGTAAGTAATGCCATCCTATAACAAAAATTCAGCTTGTATTTTTACTTTATACATGTATATATAAATTTTGATGATATTCATATAAAGTTTAGTAATATGATTCAATTAAAATGGACAAACGTACACATAGTAAGTGTAAGAATGATAAAGAAAACAATTTACATTTTGTTTGATAATGTATTGTCTATTCGTTTCCGTAATAAAAGTTTTCATTTTTAGCTTGTGAGTCACATCCAACTCTACAAAACGGTGCCTTAAAACGGTTATCGGAATCACAATTCAACATTACTTATAGCATTGAATGCAACAAAGGCTATGAATCCTTAGGTTTGCAATATGTAACATGCGACAAGGACTCGGGATGGAAAAAAATTCCAACATGCAATAAGGTATCATGTGGAAATCCAGTCGCACCGTCGAACGGAAAGCTTGCTTTTACAACTGGAGTAACTTTCCAAGCGATCGCAATGTTTGAGTGTTATAGCAGTTTTACAGCTTTTGGTAATCCAGTCTCAACATGTTTAAGTGATGGAACATGGTCAAGTTCTATAAGATGCTTGATACCATGTAAGTAGAACGTTTATACATGGATCTGTTTGCCGAAATATGATTTTGTTTGAATTATCAGATCGTTTCATTTTTATTAAAAGGTAATGGTTTAATTTGAAAGATACAAATTAACAGCTGCCTACATAATCTTCTGAGTTATTGGTGTGGTCTGAAAAATTCTATGTTTGATATTTTTTTGTCCGCAAAATATTTGTTTTAATTTTAGTTTGTAGATCACTTCCAACTCTACAAAACGGTGTCTTGAAACGGTTATCGGAATCACCATTCAACATTACTTATAACATTGAATGCAACAAGGGCTATGAATCCTCAGGTCTAAAACTTGTAACATGCAACAAAAATTCGGGTTGGACTGAAATTCCATCATGCAACAAAGTTTCTTGTGGAAATCCGGTTGCACCTTCAAACGGAAAACTTGCTTTCATTAGTGGGGTCACCTTCCAAGCATTCGCAATCTTTGAGTGTTGTGATACATGCAGAACCTCTGGAAATTATGTCTCAACATGTTTAGATGATGGAACATGGTCAAGCTCCTTGAAATGTATAGCACCTGGTTGGTAAAATGTTTATTCATTCATTTGTTTTGATTATTTGTTTCAAGATTGATATCTCACCAATATTAGTACAATGTATGATTACTCTACTTGTAACAACTAAGTGAAAACGTTCTCATGTTCTGTAGTTTTAAGTAAATAATCTCAAATCGGTGACACTTTTAATCTACTAATTTAAAAGTAAAATTATTTTTCCGTGATTGCTTGTAGAGACAATCAAAATATATATTGAACAATTAGATAGGTAATTTCATGCTAATTATTTGTGAGGGCTTTAATACTGAGAGCAAATTACATTTTAAATGGAAATCTACTAGAAACATTGTCATAAAAAATGTCTTGTGTTGTTTTGTAGTATCAAAGTGTACGAAGAAACCGACCTACAATGAAACCTTCAAAAACGTTGCGTTCGGCAAAAAAGTTACACTATCGTCAACGTACTCTTCTACATACAACGCCCCAAAAATGGTAATTTGTGGTTGAAGCCTAGCTATTTTTTTTTCATCCGGCATTTTCTTGTGTTTTACTTTAGTTTCTGGTTGTAACATATATGATATATTGGTGGAAATTTAAGTCACGCTTATATTTTCGATTCCGTATTGAGACATTCAAGAAATGTTGGTAAAGGACGACCCCACCTCCTGCATGCATTATTATTTGAGGCATGACAAGTCACCTGTGTAGAATCAACGATATTCCCTATGCAAGCTGGATAGCATTCATAATTGAAAGTGTTCAAGGTCTATGTCGGTATTCGAACCCATAGCGGAATGTCCGATATATAGTACATAAAGTTAACATACATTTATCGGGATTATAATAGGATTTGGTAGATTTTTAATTGTACGACAACAAATTACAAAAATAAAATCGTATTAGAATTAGCATTTCATACTTATATAATTTATATAATGCATCTAGTATACAAAATAGCTTTCTAAGACATACAATAAATACTAAGTATTTACATGTATATTTCTTATATATCAAAACAGGTTTTTAATAGAAACAATGTTTCTATTATCCCTAGTGAAACAAAAAATAAGTGAGATTTTTTTTACAAGATGCAATTATTATATGTTCTAGGTAGATGGTAACTTTGACAGAAATAATATCGCAATAACACAGTATCAGAAAGATCCATTTGCAGTGGTTGATCTAGAACATTCATATACAATACACTCTATCTATATATACAACCGTAAAGACTACGGTAGGTTTACTTTTATTTTATTTTATAACCTACAGTTTTAGATTTAGTTTTTAATAATTTATTCCCGTGTGAAAAGCTTTATGAGATTATTAAATATTCTTGAAACCTACACTTACAATCATTTTACGTGAACTTGTTTGTAATGACATTGTGTGAAAATCAATGGAACTCTAAACAGTTTGCTTATACATGTTTTAAACTGGACACATTTACAATTTATAAAATTCATAAGCGCTTTCTAAGTGCCTTTCTTACTCTAACGTAGATTGTTATTAACGAAACTGACTTATTGTTCCAGCATATACCGACTTAAGAACGTCATCGTCCAAGTCGAGGGGACAAGCTCTCCACGTTTATAACAGTTGCTACTCATAAGACGGTCATAGGTGTAGACTGCACATTCCGATTTGAGAACCCAGTTAGAGGTCGTTATTTTAAAGATAATGCTAGAAACAAACGGCGAGTATCTGCAAATCACAGAGCTTGAAGTGTACAGTGACACAAAAATCTGAAATGAAAGTAGACTTTTGTGTATCTACTTTTATCAGTAGGTAGTCATTGCTATAAAGTCGGAAAACAATTATGCCATATAACACTTTTAATAAGATTATGTTTTTTTCAATTATAACTCTCTGAATATAATTTTTAATTGGTGTTGTAAATTTTATTAATTGCATTCTTCTACATATGTTCTTATATGATTGAACTCTATTTTCAACCAATGAGCGTATGTCTACGTTCTTTCCAGTTTGAACATACATTATAAATAATAGATTACTTTGTACTATAATTGTTTTATCTATTAAAATATGTTAACGTGTCTGCTACAAATATTTCTTTTATGTGTTATTTTTTTTTAAATAAAAATTCGTTCAAAAACTCAAGACTTTCAACAGCCAATTCATTTATCTCAAAAAACAGTCTCCATTCCCGATTGTTCCAAACAAATGTCACAAGAAAAACATTCTATACAATGTCAGTTTCCTTCTTTACGTTCAAAATGGAATGAAAATAATAAAGAAGCATTTGTTAATAATACAGATATACAACGGGTTAATAAAATCAAAACAGCACCCGATACTCCGTCAGGCTGTGATGTTAATTCATCTATTCTAAATAGTCTTGGCGACGAGATGCATTATTTACTAGAAAGTCCTTTCTCAACGGAAAAAGGTCAAGTCTCTTATCCAAAAAAGATTTTATTAAAGGCTTAATATTGTCCAATAAAAGTTAAGCTCTTCTATCATGTACTTCGGAACTATTTTTATAAATATTTTTATAAATCTTGCATATTTTGTAAAACGCTTGATTGAACATTTCAGAAGTGTAATTTAAATCCATTCTTTTCAATTGTAAACATGCGAATATAGTCGTCGTTCGAGTTTTTTTTCATTAATGAAATAACAGTGCGAAGCAAAGTCAGGATTTTTACGATTGTGTTTTAATAGTATTATTTCAAAGGATATTTTTGCAATAATTTTTTCAAAATATCTATTTGGTAAAACTGTCCTAAGATGTTTGAATATTCTGTCTTAGTAGATATTGATTTTAAGTTTGGCATAACGGTTATTTATTTCTTAGCAGAATTGTTAACTACCATCATTGATAAGGTGCAAACTTTCAGTTTGAAGATAGTGGGTTCGGATGCAGCTGAAACTTTTACTACATTTAATTCATTTTCTTTAATTTTGTAAAACTTGTTCACTAGAGAATGTTTAGTACATGGAAATCGCTCATTGCATAATTTTATCACAATTATTCAAATATCATAAAAAATGAAAGCAAATAATATATTTAAAACATTTTATGTTAAGATATATTGTTCAATGTCTACATGTATGTCTATTAAAAAGCTAAAAAACATTAATTGTCAGTCTAATCTGTTGTTGTTTTATGATCCTTCGATATCAAAAGTTAATTTTTGGTACCATGTACTACGTATAAATGCAAAATAGTACATTTTGTTGCAATAGTCATGGCATAAAGACCTCCTCATACAATGCCGACATAACGACTCATTATTAGTGTAAGTGCAGTTTAAATATATGTATGATAGTTTGAAAACTTTACCAGAGCTAAATCGTATACAAAATGCAAAACATGCATAGTGAGGTAACTGGAGTGCAGGTATTAGTTACTAGCGCATGCTCGTTGATTGGCTTATTTTCTTTAGGGTTTACTAATTGCGACGACAGGGAAAGAGATAACGATGGAGAAGTCATATTCAGATGCTCGAACATTGGTTTTTTCTGGGGTTTATTATTGTGACGACGGGGAACGTGTTTTTATTTTTGCCTATGAACATCAAAACACTCGGCAACACGTGTGTTACGATGTTCTTTCTATTACATGTCAACCATGCCACATGGGTTTAAAATTTGTTTAAAGCCACACTGCTAACAAACATTTCAAGATTGTTTAATTATTTTTAGGTTAGTTAGTCTTATCAAAACGAAAATGTTGTTTAATGTAACAAAACTTTATGACTCATACGGATTTCTACTTCTTTTTGACAGCACAAGCAATAAATTGTTTGGCATTTAAGAACAATCATGTAAAAATATCTTGCATAATAACCAAAGAATGTCAGGTACATAAAAGAGATGCAAAATATAGAAAATACGTTTTCTTGGACAACAAAGTTGACCTTTCCGTTTTGTCCAATTTTTATGACTTGCTAATGGGCTTTTAGATAATTTGAGTGTATGGCCTTTGTCGAAATGGGGCTAACCTGTTTTGTATTTTATAAGGGGGAAAGTTATTGTAGCGTTAATAACAAATCATTTCAGACTAGTTTTTATAAATAATTGTGTTTGAACTGACAATAATATACATTTTACACTCATTATCATTTCGTTGATTTAATATTCTAAATGTTTGGCTGTCACCGAACATTCTTTAAAGAGTATAAATCTATATCAAATGAAAATTTTTTAAAAATTCAAATCAACTGTAAAATAACAATGGTTCCATCATTATATGGTTGATTCTCGAAAAAGTTGTAACATAGAATGCCCTCTTATTTAAAACACATCAATATTGAACGTAAACAGAAGCAAATTTTAAGTAGGGTTTTATCCGTTTAGCAATGATTTTTGTGCATGAGCCATTCGCTTTTAAGGCAATAAATGACCACATTTATTTTATACAAGCATTTTAGAAGTATTCTTTTTAAAAATTCAAACAATCCTTTTTTAGAAAACAAACAATAAGGCGTTAAGAAAAGAGCACGGCACTCTTTAAAACAGAACTTTAGTTTAACGTATGCATCAATCTGTACTTCATTATTGCCGGGGTAGGAGAAATTTGGTTTAAGGTTCTTCATATTTATGTGTTTGTTTGCTCTGATCAATCAGAAAGATATAAGTAAATCGCTAGTGAAAAGGGAGCACATTTGTGTAGTTTGTAACAGATAGAAAAGAGCAAATTATATATTATTTTCTTTATATGTTTATTTATTTATCTATATACTTCTTTTTTCATATAATTTTACTTTTTTCTTGTTATCTTCTCCCTTTATATACCCCTATATATCTATACACTCCTTATTTTTCATATGTTTATTTAGAATCCATATCAACCAAATTCAATAAAGATTTTAAAACATTTCAAATTATGACAATGGTCAAAATGCTTATCGAATAAGTACATGTGCATGTAAAAATGAAAGAATATAGTCTATATACATGTATAAAAATGCATATAAATTTCTCGAATTCTGGTTTGCTAAAAGACACATTGTATACTATATGCCGTATTTGCCGTGAAGAACTGAAGCACGCTTAATTAGCAACGTATTTCTACAGATGGTTACCGATGTGTGTGCATACAATTTTGTTCTTTATGGCGCTTTTCTCGATTCAAATGTCATAAAAATCTGAAAACAAAGTGATCCCTCGGAAGCATTAATCATAACAAAATTACATGAAAACTGCAGACTCGGATCGATTGAGTCTGTACATGAAGGATAATGAATAAGTACAACATCCCTCACGTTCCCTAGCACCGGCTTGAGCGATACTCAATTCTCAACACTTAATTAATAGTGCTGAAATCAATGATCCCGAACGACCCGAAAAATATAACAACATAACTCTGAAATAAATAATTAAAAAGTTACATCGCTATGATGACTTTATACTTATTACATATTACATATTTATTGCCCAGCGTTAGAGTAGCCGTTGTCAACTTGTGTCTTTTACCTGCATTTATTTGAAAACAGTTTTTCCTATGAACTTAATAATTTGATTCATAATAAATACGTTATACAAGTATTTGCGGGATATACAGGAGAATATAGCCTTTCCGTCGTAAATATAGCATAGGCTATATTCTCAGCAATATTAAATCACCATAATATTAGAACCGCAAGCTGTTTTCCTATAAATGGCATAGTCTCCTACGCTACAAAATTATCTCGTGTATGCACACGTGAACGCCCTCGCCTTTGTTTTAACATTTTCTTATAATTCATTTATCCGCATAATTCTTTTTTCCGCCTTGCAATTTTGTTTTATTAAGATTGTTTGTTGTTTCGTGGGAGAATCAGCCATAAGCTTTGTGTCTTATAAGCAATTTTTGAGCTTCCTAATGTATTTTCTGTCAATTCTGTATATTTTATACGTAATTTACATTAACATCAATATGATTTTTAAAAATTGGGAAGCGTTAGGTGATTTTAAGATTTCTGAAGCAAAATAATTATAAAAATAATAAAAATTATTATTGAATAATTATCTATGAACGTATGATTTTAAAAGTATTGGAAAATAAAAATAGCAATGAGAGTTAATGTATAAAAAGTGCAACCGATAAAGTCCATCATATGATTTCATTAAAATAATAGTACAGTATTTAAACGAAGTCACTGTACCCAGTCTCGCGAGCCTATACAAATAAATATGTACCCTGTTTTGAGAGTACAAGCACATGTTACTACCGATCCCTGTACCCTTCTTAGGAATCAATACATTTTAACTTGTATCTTCCTTGTGAGTACAGGAAGTAGACTGGTTTATATACTCTGAAAATGTCATGTGCAAGCCTGTGATAAAATGA